GTTGGGGATAAGGATGTGGGTAGGAGTGTGGGTAGTTTTGGAGACAGGGGTGTGGGGAGGTAGGGATGTGGGTAGGAGTGTGGGTAGTTTTGGAGACAAGGGTGTGGGAGGTAGGGATGTGGGTAGGGGTGGTGGCGGGTTGGGGTTAGGGATGTGGGTAGGAGTGTGGGTAGTTTTGGAGACAGGGGTGTGGGAGGTAGGGATGTGGGTAGGGGTGGTGGCGGGTTGGGGTTAGGGATGTGGGTAGGAGTGTGGGTAGTTTTGGAGACAGGGGTGTGGGAGGTAGGGATGTGGGTAGGGGTGGTGGCGGGTTGGGGTTAGGGATGGAGGTAGGAGTGTGGGTAGTTTTGGATATGATAACTAAGGATATTGAGTGAGGGCCGGAAGTGAGGGCTATTTGACACATTTGTCACGCCATCTAAGCGATGGGAGAGTCTTCCCTTGATGTGGAAACCCCCCACTAGGTTTACACCATGTACCCGCTGCTGGCATCAATGATGCCTGAAGTATAAAGCATCTGCGTCACTATGTTAAAGGCACAATGCCACACCGCATTTCTCTAACAATACGTAATACATTTCTGCCAATAATACCAACTACCGGCCCTCAGGAAAGCTACCATATAGTTTATTCCAATAAGAATTACGTATTTATATTACAATATTAAATAAAAAAGTTCAAATGAATTAATGCAACATCGCGTTAAATCGACTTTCGCGCCCTCTACCGGTCGACTATTATTTCCAGCGAAATAATATTCTGCTTGGCAAACACCGCGTGCGACATATATTTACGTTCCATAATAATACTAAGCAGCAAAAGAAACGTCAGTTTGGAATTTTCCTTCGCAGAAACGGATAACTGTAAACTCATTTAATGTTTTGATTGCATATTTGGACAACACCTCCAACCTGGCCTGAGCAAAGACATTCCTTCCCATACTCAGAATGGAACCCAGGAAAAGGTCTCAAAAACGCACCCTGATCTCGGAGCTGGTACTCATGCTGCACGTGCTGTTCACAAGGACCAGCCCTATAAAATGCACCCCAAACCTGGTTGAAAATTTCACATTACAACGTCAGCAGGATGTCGCGAGTCACGACAACTCAGAGAAACCAGGCGCTAGGGAGACTTGAAGCTGGCCTCACTGCACAATCACTTCCAGGTCAACGTTCGGACCATCTACAGGCTGCAGCAACGTTTCCGGGCCACCAACACCACAAATGATCGCCCCCGTACTGGCAGACCAAGGGTGGCCACAAGACGACAAGGCTGCCATGTTGTGCGACAGCGTGTTCAGAATCCTTTCATGCAGGCATCCGAAACAGCACGCCCGACAGTGGGAACACACGGAAGACCAATCAGCACTGATACAGTACACCGACGTCTTAACAGCGGGAATCTCCATTGCCGTAGACCTTACTGTGGACCTATCCTCATCCCTCGTCATCGGCGTGAACGTCTACAGTTTGCCCTACAAGACCAAAACTGGCGATACAGGCAATGGAGAACTGTTCTGTTCACAGATGAGAGTCGATACTGCGTATCAACTGCAGATGGCAGAACAAGAATATGGCGACGACGTGGCCAGCGTTACTCAGACCTATGTGTTATGGAAAGAGACTAATGCAAGCATCATGGTATGGGGTGGAATAGGTCTGAACCAGAGAGTGGGTCCTGTGTTGTTCCAGAACCTTGGTCCAGGGAGAGGAGGCGGTCTCACAGCGGTGCGCTACATCGACCAAGCTCTCAGACCCCACGTCATACCACATTTCGCACGTCACCGGAACAACATTTTCCAGCTTGATACCAGTCGGGCCCATACTGCCAGAGCTACACGGGACTTCCTACAGCAGAACGGTGTCAACATTATGCAGTGGCCAGCCCTTAGTCCTGATTTAAACCCAATTGAACATCTTTGGGATGAAATTCAGAGGAAACTGAATAATGTCATACCAAGACCGAACACAGCCGATTTATTGCGCCAGGCCTTTCTCAGAGTGTGGTTCCAGGTGCCAATGGCCTTCATCAATCGATTGGTGCACTCCATGCATAGACGCTGTGCTGCAGTTATTGCCGCTCGTGGTGGTCACACTAGATACTGAAGTCAAGAGTCTGAATGGACTGCAAACGTTCACGTAATGTCTTGAAATTGTGCTGAGTTATTCATTGATGTGTCAAGATATTGTTCACAAAAAGTATTTTTGATCCGCTTATCATGTCCATTTCTGTAATGATTTCATTACAGTGCCTATCTAATTTGAATTCATACTGACGTTTTGTTTTGCTGCTGAGTATCTATAGCAAGTGTTATCTGTTTGAAAGCTGTTCGCCTCGAAGTTTCAATTATCGATTTCAGACAAGTTGTAAGGGATAATAATTGTATCAATAGGAAGCTAAATAGAGTACAGTTGACCCAAATATATAAAATATAGGTCAAAATATTGTCGAAAATGTTTGTCATTGTGCCTTTAAACATATTTCTGATATACTCAGAAGCAAACGTTATCGAGGTACGAATGTTTTTCATTGATAGTCATGTGAAGGAATTGTTGGATTTGAACCAGAGAAAGAGTTTGTTGAAAGTCCAGGAAACGGTGTAGATGCCAAATCCGTCCTCGGATGTTGAACGATCTTACCCAGGAGTTTTATCGACGTTTACTGGCATCAAGGGAACAAACGTTCAAGGGGCACACACTCACTGGTGACCAACCTCACCTTTTGTGTTGTCGCCCATTTGTATGTGCCTGTGTGCTGTTCATAGACTGTTGGTAATCCCGTCCACGTCATTAATAGTTCAACACTGATTCTGTTTGTTGTTGGTGTGAAACAATACTATTTACATTAATTGAGTATATTTACTTACAGACATGCTTTGTTTTTCTTTAGGGCTCCTGAGCCGCCGATTGTAAAGTGTCGTCCTCGGTGTAAAGCCGTATACATAATGTAACTGGTATGTCAATTAAACAGCAAATAGCATGAATACGTGCACGAGAAGAGGCGTTCTGTGTTTTATCTTGCTCGAAATCATTACTGTATGGCAGTCCCTCGAATTCAGATCGGTTGAAATATTAATAGTGCTTTTAGCAAAATCAAACCGGAGAACTATATAAGCAAAAACACAAAGAGACAACGTTCTGTATAAGTCATTGAAGCGGTTGACAGATTTATCGATTTTAGCTCTAGTTGGTACAGATGTATTATTTCATCTTACATGGCAGAGCTCAACACTTTAGTTTAGGCGGTGAGGAAGGACAGACTATCTTTACTCACCTCTACAACCTTCATCCCCCTACAGGAAGCAAGCAATTCACTGTGCATCACCGAGAATCGTGAGTTCAAACCTAGTTTCACAGCGTATAGGTTTCTCTGCACCATCAATGTGCTCGTGGGTTTCGGGTCTTCCTCCCACATCCATGTGATGTGTGAGTTTTTAACAGCGTTAAAACTGAATGACTGAGTGACTGACCGGCTCCGTGGTGTAGTGGTTAGAGCGTCCGCCCGGAGAGCGGAAGGTCGCGGGTTCGATCCCCGACCGCGTCATACCAAAAGACGTTAAAATATGGTACTTGTTGGTCCCTGCCTGGCGCTCGGCATTAATGGGTACAACAAGGCCTGGTCGGCTTGGAGTCAGTATAATGTGTCTGAGTGGGGTATTCATGCTTCACTGCGGCATGGTATCTCAGTGGGCTAGCTATATGAAACCAGCTTCAGTCTGGGCTAGTACACGTCGTCATATGAGCGTCACCTCACCTTGCTCACTCACTCACTCACTCGGGCACTGGCTGATACTCAAACTCAGAAACGGCTGGTAATGTAATTTGAACCCCATAGTTATGAATCTGTTGTTCAGTTTGTGCCTCGTAGAACATCTTTCTTCAAGACATGATAAATTCGAAACAAATTATCCCCAAAGGTACGGTTTTGAATAAGCAGTTACTATTCAATTCGTCACTTAAAAACATTCAGCTATTATATAAAATCGCTTAAATCCCTAAAGATGGAATGAAACTATAAACACCAAGTATATTCGACAACAACAATACGATGACGTCAATGCCTAGATGAATTATACAAAGCGATTGTATATTAATAAAGACCACGGTTGGTTACGTTCATTTCAGTACAGCCATTGTTTAAGCTGGGCCCCGTCTCGAATATCGCAATATACGCAAGGTTACGCGCGCAAAGGGAGCCTAGAATCATTTTTCTTTTTAACAGGCCGTCCGTATTAAGTTGACACAGTCGGAATCCTTTCAGAAACGTCTTATGATTCTGGAAATTCTTTTTTTTCGCTGTTAATTCATCAAATGCTGGATCGAGAAATATTCTTCCTCTACCTACATAAACTATACCGCTCCTCCTACCAAATACAATGTCGATGGATAATGATATATGGATGTATGATATATTGATGTGATGGAATCATCTGTCAAAATGTCATCAAATAATTTACAGAGTCATTGTGAGTGAATAGTGAGTTTCGTTTTACGTCGCACTCAACAATATTTCAGCTATATGGCGGCAGTCTTTAAATAATCGAGCCTGGACCAGACAATCCAGTGAGAAACAGCATGAGCATCGTCCTACGAAATTGGGAAACGATGTGTCAACAAAATCAGCGAGCCTAACCACCCGATCCCGGTAGTCGCCTCTTACGACAAAAATGGGTTAATAAAGATGAATTCTAACACGGATCTTCACGGGTAGAGAGTGATTGTGGCTATCTCGAAACCGTTTTGACAACGTAACAATATTCGAGTTTCATCAAGGTCGGCTAAATGTGGGAGGAAATCCCGAAGTAAAGCAGGTGTTACTCTTCTACCGCTTTGGTGAAATCTACCAGCAGGGGTGGGGTGTTGACAAACCTTAAAACATGATCGTGGGGAAAAGGGATTCGAACCCATGATCAAAGGTTTTTAGCTTGCTCAAGAGACGCCCCTCTGCATGCCAACCACTGCCTTTTTGGGACTGACTGTATGCTAAACTTCCTGTTCCAGAACATGGATACGCACATCCACAGTGGACGCAACCAGTAGCCAGAAATCCAGCAATCTGAGAACAGGTACGTCATCATAACATTAGAAACAATTTTACTTTACTTACAATGACATGCATTTGGATTGTGACCAACATTTTTTGACAGGTCAATTTCCATTGTACTTCTTCGTTTATTGACAAAATGTGTATGCAAGTGAAGCATCTATGTAAGTTAGATGCCATTCATCTTTACATGTTTGATTATTTTCGCGTCGGTATTTCAAAGTTGTTCTCATACTTTTTGGTCCTAAGGTTAAATCGTTCGCTCGTCTCGCCGAAGACCCGGGTTCGATTCCCCACCTGGGTATACTGTGTGAAGCTCATTTCTGGTTTCCATCCCCCACTAATCCCTCCCCCCTCTCTCCCCCGTGATATTGCTGGAATATTGCTAAAATCGGCGTCAAACTTAACTCACTCACTCACTCTTTTTATATTTAACGGTTTTGTAATGGGGTCTAAAAGGGATCTGAGGCAAAATCTGAGGGAACGTCTTGTATGGTTTATAAGATCCCTGTCTCTGTCTAGGCAAATGGTTTCAATTCCCCGTTGTGTAGGGTCTGTAACACTGGACACGTGTCAAGGTTTATGGGATGTGACACTGGACACGTGTCGAGGTTTTTTTAGATGGAGCACTTGGCACGTGTCAATATATATGGGGCGTAACACTGGATACGTGTCAAGGCGTATGGGATGTAACACTGGACACGTGTCAAAGCGTATGGGATGTAACACTGGACACGTGTCAAGGCGTATGGGATGTAACACTGGAAACGTGTCGAGGTATATGGGATTTAACACTTGACATGTGTCCAGGTGTATGGGATTTAACACTGGACACGAGTCAAGGTGTATGGGCTGTAACACTAGATACGTGTCAAGGCGTATGGGATGTGACACTGGACACGTGTCGAGGTTTATGAGATGTGACACTGGACACGTGTCAATATGTCTGGGGAGTAACACTGGACACGTGTCGAGGTGTATGGGATTAAACACTGGACACGTGGCAAGGTATATGGGATGTAACACTGGACAGGTGTCGAGGGATGTGGGATGTAAGACTGGACACGTGCCTAGGTGTATGGGATGTAACACTGGACAGGTGTGGATGTGGGATGTAAGACTGGACACGTGCCTAGGTGTATGGGATGTAACACTGGATACGTGTAGAGGTGTATGGGATGTAACACTGGACACGTGTCGAGGTATATGGGATGTAACACTGGATACGTGTCAAGGTATATGGATGTAACACTGGATACATGTCAAGGTATATGGATGTAACACTGGATACGTGTCTAGGTATATGGTATGTAACACCGGATACGTGTCAAGGTGTATGGGATGTGACACTGGACACGTGTCGAGGTATATGGGATGTAACACTGGATACGTGTCAAGGTATATGGATGTAAGACTGTATACGTTTCTAGGTGTATGGTATGTAAGACCGGGTACGTGTCAAGGTGTATGGGATGTCACTGGATACGTGTCAAGGTATTTGGGATGTAACACTGGACACGTGTCGAGGTATATGGGATGTAACACTGGATACGCGTCAAGGTATATGGATGTAAGACTGGATACGTGTCTAGGTGTATGGTATGTAACACCGGGTACGTGTCAAGGTGTATGGGATGTGTCACTGGATACGTGTCAAGGTGTATGGGATGTAACACTGGATACGTGTCGAGGTATATGGGATGTAACACTGGATACGTGTCGAGGTATATGGGATGTAACACGTGCAAAGGCGCACGTGTGTAACCCTGGACACGTATAAAGGTGCACGGGTTGTAACATTAGTCAATTGACAGTATGTATAGGTGTAACTCTGATCACGTATTGAGATGTATGGGTTTAAAATGACACACGTCAAAGCGTGTTGCTGTACCAATGGACGCAAGGCAAGGTATGGATAGTAATGAAGGCTATGAAATAATGAAGTGTAAATTACGCATGACGTATTACGGCTAAGGGGTGCAGTAGCTGAGATGTATTAAGTTTAATGGGTGCAGCAAGACGCATGCATATTCATAGGTATACCAGTGGAACCTGTTAAGCTTCTTGTGTAAGAATGGTGCAACAACTGACCCAGTGAAGGATATTGTGTACAAATGAAAACGTATACATTTTAATAGGTTTAACAATTGACCTTTTAAACAAGCGTTTGGTGTTGCCATGGAGTTGTTCTAAGATGTATGCGTGACACTTATAGACAGAGAGTTCTGCTGAAAGACAAACACTAGAGGCTTGGAATTAGTAAATGTGATTGTTGAATACTGTCGCCAAGAAAAGTACAAAGGATTATTTGTGGGTGGTTGAATTAAAAATTAACAAATAATGTAGTTCATTGTCTGTTCGACAGATATGTCTTGGGCCGTTACTTAGTCTAATTGATGCCTTGTTGTTTCTTAGCACGGCATAACCGCTAAAACTGTCCAGAGCAATTAACTAATGGCCAGAAAAAAACCCACATCACCTTGATTTGAATTCTGGATAGGTTCTTTGCCTTACTTCTTGCTGGAAAAGTACGCAAAAAAATCAATATAGAAAATACACGTGGCCCGTCTTTGGTATAGCATACTCGTGGCCCGTCTTTGGTATCTCCGGATCTCTGCAGAAAACGTGCAGCGACACGTGAGTGTTGGTCCACGAAAGAAATGCAGGATATATTATCAGTGTATGATATCTTCACATTTCATGTACTTTAGTCTTGTATTCAAACGTATTTGTGAGATTCATTTATTCGCTTGAACATGTATTGTTGTTTCAGAATGAATGGTGCTAACAATGTCCCTTCACTACCATATTTGGATAACAGTCAAACATAGAATGTACAACAATCCGACATATGCATAACGATCGGTGGCAATGTGACTAAACAGAGGTAAACTGTGGGGCAAAAGTCACTTTACCCTACAGTTGATAGTATATTCCGAAAATAAACACTGTTTTCTTTACAAAACATAGCCCTAACAAAACAAAAATCGCATGATACACATATACTGATTGGTAGCTTAGACATGTTGTTTAACAAATACAGTTCGCTCTACCACTATGTATAGTGTAATAAAGCACACTTTCGCCCTGAACTATTATAGTTAAAGCACGAGAACGCCTGCGTCCGAGTGCTTTAACGTTATAATAGTTCAGGGCAAAAGATCCGGGTTTGAATGGGTCTTCAGCCGTAAGATTCGACAAACGGGATCGGGTTGCCGCTGGCTTGGTTGGCACATGTCATCGGTTCCCAATTGCGCAGATCGATGCTCATGATATTGATCACATATTACAACACACTTGATTTTACGTCACAAAATAATACAACACATGTGTATTAACGTCACACATCACAACACACCTGTATTAACGTCACACATCACAACACACCTGTATTAACGTCACACATCACAACACACCTGTATTAACGTCACACATCACAACACACCTGTATTAACGCGACACATCACAACGCACGTATTAACGTCACACATCACTTGTATCAATATGTTGACATATGAGAGACATGTAAAATTTTTGACAAGAATGCTTTCTTTCCTGTACACCTGTTACTGCAGTCTTGATAATTTTGTCAGGCTAATCCATATTAACTATTGTCTTGAGAATTTTACTATGCTAAGTTTTTGTACCAACATAAATACATTAAATTGCCTTGTACGTATAAAGAAAGTAACCAGTAAATCTGATATTAAAATGTGAAATTCAACGTAATGCAACAACATAATCATAATAATTCGTCTTGGACGTCTCCCTTGTCACATAAAGTAAGTAAAAAGGAAATCTGATATCACAATGTTTTATCCACTATATACATTGTATCTAATACACTCAAGCATGTATAATGCGATGTACCAATGTGTCTTCATTTTGTATTATGGGCCTCTGGCCTAGAACTACAGAAATAAATCTGTCTGTCTGTCTGTCTGTCTGTATTAACGCCACACATCACAACACACCTGTATTAACGCCACACATCACAACACACCTGTATTAACGCCACACATCACAACGCACGTATTAACGTCACACATCACGACACACCTGTATTAACGTCACACATCACAACACACCTGTATTAACGCCACACATCACAACACACCTGTATAACGTCACACATCAAAACACACCTGTATTAACGTCACAAATCACAACACACCTGTTTTAACGTCACACATCACAACACACCTGTATTAACGCGACACATCACAACGCACGTATTAACGTCACACATCACAACACACCTGTATTAACGTCACACATCACAACACACCTGTTTTAACGCCACACATCACAACGCACCTGTATTAACGTCACACATCACAACGCACGTATTAACGTCACGTTAATGGCACATCTTTTTGAATCAACATGTTCCTGCAGGATAGATGGAGGAAAATACAAAATAAATTCTCTCCATTGGATTTAATATAAACCAAATTACTTTGCATCACTTCGTCAAGCTGTCTCTGCATCTCTTCATTCAGTCTGCAACACCAGGTCACAAACATAGAGTCTGTTTCCCAGTAAAGTGGATTAACGTCGGGCCTTATAAAGGACGAATGTTCATTTATCAGGCGTGATACCAGAGTGTCAATCTAGTCATTATACCACACATTGAGAGCTGGATGGCGACTGACTGGTCAAGTCATGACCGCAATTAGTTGTCAATGAAGATGTGATGGATGTATGAGGCGAGATTATTTCATCTAAATTTCTGAATTAATTTCCGCCTGGCTTAGAGAACAAAGCAGCAGGATAAAAAGCCTAGTTGGCAAGCGCGAACATTCCCGAATGCAGTAATGCCGGGATGGGACGATGGTGTAAAGCTGAACGTTCGAGTAAGTAGTTCTTATTGAATATACTCGAGTTATACTGAAATAACCTACGAAACTTCTTTTGATATATTTCTATGCTAATGTATATCAACAGTTCATAACGATTTAATAAATCTATGATAACTTGAGTTTGAAGATTGAAGATTGTCATATTTAGACAATCATTTTG